TATTCCACTTCCACATGGATATAAAAGGAAAAGTAATAAGACCAAGAACTATTAAGATAAAATCAAAGAAAACTCAGATGAGTGTGTATGAATAAACATGTACATGTATGTGTAGTGTGACCTAAGTGTAAGTAGAAGTAGCAAGACGTACCTGTAATCTTGCATATTTATGAGACAGACATAAGACACCAGCAATCCTACTATCATGTAAAACAATTACAGGCTTTCATTTCACACTCACTTGGCAGGACGGTATTACCCCCCTGGGTGTCGGACGTACTAGCACGGCTTACACACCAGGGTTTTTGATGTACTAGTACACCTAAATTCTAGCGCCCTCAAATCTAGAAAGCTGGTAGGCCTACATATGAAAGAATGGGTCTATGTGGTCAGTGTGCATAGTATAAAAAAAATCCTGCAGCACACAGTGCATAATGAGAAAAAAAAACTTTGACCGTGTTTTTGGATTAAAACAGCGACTTTGCACTGTATTTTCGTATGGTATTTATTGTTATATTCTAGTTTTCCTGGTCTCATTTTATAGAATGGAAGACATATTACAGAAATTGAGATGATTTTGACTGGTTTTACAATGGAAAGTACCTTGAAATTGAGCTCAAAGTAAAAGAAATGTTCGATTTTTACCAAAGTTCAAAAGTAAACAAATCATGCCAAGCGTCCAATACACGTCAACTGGCGAGTCTAATATTCTTCCACAAGTGCGCTGATATTATTTATACCATTTCTACACTAATGCAGTAGTCTGCATAACAGTAAATCTTCTATTTTTTGTGAGAATAAAAATTCAAAGTGAAAAGCAAAAGAATGTAAGAGGGGTGTGGGGACGTGACTAATGAACAAAGGAAATGTTATTTTAGTGCCAGGAATGTCTGTCTTGTTTATTCTGGACCCTATTTGGAAATTGGCATCTTTTGAAATGTGTGTGAAATTGAATAAATTGCTAAATTCTGACCACTGTATTGGATAGTTGAAATCGGTAAATGGGTGGTTTCTTGTACTCATTCGATAGAAAAAATGGAGTTCTAGCAAAATCGTTATGATTTTTGTCGACTAGTACACTGGAATTGGCCGAAAATAGGGTTCCAAGTGGGCAAAATCGCCGATGCGTAAACATCGTCGAGACCGCTAACTTCGCGAGAGCATATTATTATTATAATCAAAAAGAAGCGCTAAGCCACAAGGACTATACAGCTCGCGAGAGCATAATTCAGTAAGTTTTCCCATCAAATTTCATATTTTTGGTGTCATTATGATTGGGAAAAGATTCTCTATCTTTTCATAAGAAAAAATATTATTTTTTTTTTTTTTTTTTTTTTTGAAATTTGGGCGACCCTCAGAACAAGTCTTGGAGAGGGTCTGAGGACCCTGAAAGGGTTAATTATGGTGTCTTATGTCAAGTAGTGTCAATTGAGCACCTGTGCAGTTGAATTTAAAGTCTGAGGAAAGTGTTGCTACACAAAACACAAAGGCTAACTGTTGCCAGCCAATTTGCTTGATGCATACACGTTAGGGCACACCAATGTTTACTTTAAATAAATTTTAATGAAGATTACCAAATCTTCCAACAATGCAATGTGAACATTGGGAAGAACAAGATAATGACAGCAAACAAAAACCTAGGCAATGAAAGATTGGATTTCAGACTGGAGGGGACATGGAACTCAAAAATGCACTAAGATATTCAGGAATGGACTTGTTGGCAGATGGGTCCATGAAAGATGAAGCAAAGCATAGAACTGATGAGGAAAGGTGGGTACTACATTGAGGCATCTATAGAGAATTTTATCCACAGAGGCAAAAAGGGGAATGTGCAAGAGTATAGCAGTACCAACACTTATGTGGGTATGAAGAATAGGTTTTCAACCTTTTAACTGTGTCCAATGTACTAGTATGTAGGTGATGACTGACACATACTGGTATGCACAATTTTTGTCTTCAAATGTGCACCTGCCAATATTTTTTTTTACCTCAGCCCAGCTCAATAGTTTGGGTCTCGTACAACCTCTTCATGCCTTCAAAAAAAATGTAAAACCAAGCAGGTTCATGCAGTGCATCATGGGGAAACTCTGCCTAACTAGCATAAGTAAACAATGAAACCAGGACCTGGTGTTCCACCACCAACTTCCCCAACAGCAATATGGAACAGCCAGAAAGAAGTCTTTTTCATTGCAAGTTTATTACAATTTCACGATATTGACAGTAGAATTCAGCCAATAAGCACAATATGCAGATTTAACCTAGAATAATCCAATATAATCAAACAATGTGACTTGTTCCATGAAAAGTATACTTTGAAAAATGTAGCATCATAAGATTTCTTTATATAAATATACGTGTTACAGTATTCTTGAAGGCACACAGGCTGTTACTTTATGCCTATAAAACCCCAGATATTCCCTCAAACGTAAATAATTAAACAGGATAGCCCAATATAGTCAATGTGACTTATTTCCAAGTTTTGAGGAGTATTAAGGCTTGAAATAAGTGTAAAATCACAAAAAAATTATTTGATCTAATTTATACTGCATATTCAGTGAAGCAATATCAGGATTCATTTTTTCCACAAAGCACCAAAACACCTTCAAATACATCTAATATCATAAGTAGGGTACATTATGTTACACAAAAACAATAAATACTGAAAAAATTCATTTGGCATCAATATATTTTAAAACAAATATCACTGGTGCATTTATGCCGCTGTTGCCAACTTGCGATCATTCTTTTGGCAATTTCAAAACTCCATAAAATCTTAAGTTTTATTGGTTTCCATTAATTTTAGTCTTATATGATTCATAAAAAATGCACTCTTTCAATCTAAGATTTTTTTTTTTCCCCAAAAATTTTTACCCCACATACAGGAATTTTAATTTCTGAGCATGCCACAACTGAGAGGTTAAAAGTCACGAGGAGAAGGTTGGAAGCAATGTAAACGTATACACAAAAAACCCGCACATAGGAGAAAAACTTAATCAGTCATAAGTTTCTTTCTCCTATGTGTGGGTTACTTGTGTATTGCTCCAGACACTGTATTGTGCCTTTTTGTTCTTAACGGAGATATGCTTGAAGACAAGGTGTCACAGCGAGAAGGTTAGAGGTAATGGAGGTGTGTTCAAGGAGTGTGCTGTGAATATTAGGTAGAGATTTTGGAAACTGGAGACTAGAAAAAGGTGTGGAGTTACCAAAGAATTATTTAAGCAAGTTGAGAAGGGGTCATTTGAGGTGGTTTGTAGAGGATGGAGCATAAATGACTAGGATGATGTATAAATTTGGAATGGAGGGAAGGAGGTAATTGTCCCAGGCAAGGTTATAGGGAGGGCAGGGGGTAAAGGGTACTTCCAGTGCTAAGGGTTTGGAAATCTAACAGGAATGTGAGAGTGCATTACATAAGTGGAGGCAAATGGTTTTTATGATTTGACATGCTGTTGGAGTTGGAGAAAGGTAACATCTGTGGAGGGATTCAGGGAGACCAATTAACCAGACTGAAGAGTCCTAGAGGTGGGAAGTAAAGCTCCTTCACTCTGAAGGAAAAGTGGATACAGTATTGTAGTTCAGAGGACCATCTAAACTGTTATGTCAACATACATCCGGTAAGACAAATTGAATGAGTGACAGTGAAAGTTTCCTCTTTTTTGGGTCACCCTACCTAGGTAGGAGAAAGGAATTTTAAACCACCCAACTCAGAATATGTATAGAATTAGCAAGTGGTTATAACATTACTAAGAATTTATCCTCTTTATGAAGTCTTAATTTTTTTTTGCATAAAAATAAGTTCTGCAAACTCAACTATATCACAACTTTCTAATGTTCATTCATAATAAAAATACTGTCTTTATTAGTCAATATTTTTCCATTAACTGATTTCTTTACAAACCACTGCCTCTGCACAGCATACTTAAGCTTCAAGAAAAAAAAATTTACAAGAGGAAAAGTTATTACCTCCACATTATCTTTAAACAAGGCTTATGTAAACACCCTTTGCACAAGACTAAGATGTTGTCTTGCTCATGTGTATACAGTCATCCATACAAATTAACAGGCTACTGTGTTAGCTAGCCATTTCAATTATCCAACATGTTAACCAATAACCAACAACGAATAGATTTTTCCAATTATCTAACGTTTTTCTTGCTCAATGGCTTTCCCTCACCCAAATGATCACTTTCTTATCAATGTCAATATTAGCCAAATTAGTGTAATATATTAAACATGTGCACTCTTAACAGAAAACTAACCTAATTCTGTAACAATTATTCAAATTTAATTTTACATTATTAGCAGTGTCTACTTTTGCAGGACCTCTATGAACATACCTCTCCCACAAATTTGTAGAAACAGTAGATTTTTTCTTCAAGAAAAGAATGGCCATGCTGTTCATCCTATAATGCATTTGTCACTATCCCTTTTCCTCATTTTTTTTTTATGCATTAAGAATTATCAGCGAAACCTTTTCATTTATGGCAAAATACAACCATTCAGTTCATATGGAGCTGAGCCTTTATAAAGCGAGCCTCTATTTCCACACTTTTAAGATTAAGTGTTTTTCAACAGGGATTCTACTTTGTATTCATGAGACTACACCTATAATCAGGAACTAATTCTGAGATCAAAGAGCAATATTCAGTAACAATACAGTATTAGCACTGGATGACCCTGAGCTAAAACCTACTTCCTCACAAACATGCAAAAAATCACAACTTTATTATTATTACTGTATGGTACTAAACTGAAAAGCACCAGGTAATGAATTTTGTTCAGCAGAAAATTAAGGATACTGCAGTAAGTTTCATATAATAACCATAACCTTTTCTGTCTGCCCAGATAAACTCCCTTTTTACAGTTCAAAATAGAGATAATATACATTCCAGAAAATATGAACATTTTCAACAAGATACAGAGAAGTTCTTAGGTTAATCTGTGTGTAATTTAGTGTTGAGATTAAAATATTAACTTCCAAGAGGAAAACAATTTGACCCTACCTGTAGCATTTCTGACAGTTGAAGTGGATATACATCCTCATACTGTAGTAGTGATGAGGAGGGAGGTATAGTGTCAGCTTGTACTTCACCATGTGATTGTAGCATGGAGCGAAGATGAAGCTTGAGATAATAATCCTAAACAAATGATAGCGGAGGGAAAACACGAGTGATAAATAAAATACGATACAAAAAATTCTCCTTACATACTAGTAACAGGGAGCTCAAAATTTTTTTTTATTATTTATATATATATATATCTTCCATTCAACACACCAGCCGTATCCCACCGAGGCGGGGTGGCCCAAAAGGAAAAACGAAAGTTTCTTTTACATTTAGTAATATATACAGGAGAAGAGGTTACACACACATACATACATACATACCACGAACAACCTATGATGAGGCAGTTATATCTAGTGATTCCAACTGGGATATGATGTGGCCATCTACCCCCTTTATATATGAAATTATAATTGTGCTCATGTAGTAACTATAAAAAAGTTTGCGTTAAAGATACCTAGACAAACCGAGTAAGATAGGGAATCTCCACAGCTTAGCAAGGCAAGGAAAATAAGGATGATAGTATTCCAATGAAGGTCATTTGAACAATATGTGACAAACTAAATTTAAGACAAGGGTTTTCTAGCTTTCCAGTCTTGCAATTAAAAGAAATATTAGAAGCACTCTCTAAAGTATATGAAATTATATTCAAAACTATGAAATTACACTAAAATGATAACCCCCTCAGTTTATGAAGATTCAATTAGCAAAAACTAGCTTTAACTTTTATACTCGCAGAAAGCACTAAACCAGTGTGAAATATTTGGTGCGACACAGCAAATAGGTGGTTGACAGAGCAAGAAACAAGAGATAATAAGGAGGAGCACAACTGCAAAAGGATGGTGCAAAGTTGGTGCAGTAAACTAGTTCAGTTAAAACAGTCAAGTGTGCATCTGCACTGAAGATGGAACCATCAGTAATAGTAGTAGAGAGAAGTATGTCTGTTGCAGGAGAGGATAAAAATGAAGTCTGCATGCTAGGTGAAGAATCAAAACATATTTGACTGTTAAAAAGACCTAAGTGGTGCTGGGTGCCTTTGAGATAATGTGGTCTGGTGTGACCATTCACCTTAAGGTGAGACAACCGAGAAAATCCTAAAGCAAATTATTTGTATGCAACTAACGTAAGGCCGAAGGTGACACTGCTGCAGTAACAGGTAATTTCACAATTGATACTTTATACAATTTAGATTTATGTACTTTGAAACAAGGAAGCTAATCAGAGATGTTGTAAGTGCATTTTAACTTCAGTTTGCCCAGTTAGTGTCAGTCTTCTTTCTACTCTTTACATTAATGAACTTCAGTGTTGTTAAATATATCTACATGAACTTATGGCATGAAATTCGTGGCATCAAATTACAATGAGCTCTGTTTTCCATCATGAAGTTTTGTTTCATGTCACAATGCTTCACTTACTCGCCGAGGGCTTACTAACCTTCTAAATAATGAATTATATACCTTTTATTTCACATTTTTTGGATACCTTTGTCTTTGTTCCTTGACTTTAATGCCAAAAATACTTCCCTGGATTGTATCCCAATTCACATTATGCAAGTCTATAAGAAAACTATTTACTTTATTCATTTTTTTTCTACAAATAAATGCTGTCCCCTGCATACTTCACTGAGATAATCCCAGTTTATATGGCCCAATCATAAATATGCCTCATTTCAATTATTCATTACATGTCTAATAAAAAAAAACACCGATTTTTCTTGAGGAAAATGGGTTTCAAAAATTAAAGTTCTACATACGAGTAAATACAATACATTGGAACTCCACACACTATTAAGTAACACCAATTGAAGCCAAAATTCTCAACATATTGAGTGTTGTATGACCAACGAAATTAAAATTCATGAATAAAATAATTTCAAACTTTCTCCCACAAAACTATTTATGGGTCAATTTACGTCATTTTACAAGTGTTATATCCGGCAATCCTTAACCCTTTCAGGGTCGGCAGGCCCTCTCCTTGTTCTCAGGGTCGGAGCTTTTTCGAAGACAAAAAAAAAAAAATTCTTATGAAATTATAGAAAATCTTTTCCCAGTCATAATGACACCAAAATTCTGAAATTTGATGGAAAACTTACAGAATTATGCTCTCGCGTAAGCGGTCTCGAAGATGTTTACGCATTGGCGATTTTGCCCACTGAGCAGTACTTTCGGCCAATTCCAATGTAGCAGTCAACAAAAATCATGACAATTTTGCTAGAACTCCATATTTTCTATCTAATGAGTACATGAAACCACCGATTTACCAATTTCAACTATCCAATAGTGGTCAGAAATTGGCAATTTTGCCAATTTCACACACATTTCAAGATGCCAATTTCCAAATAGGGTCCAGAATAAACAAGACAGACATTCCTGGCACTAAAATAAATTTTTTTCTGTTCATTAGTCACATCCCCAGGCCTCTTATATTTCTTTTGCTTTCCACTTTGAATTTTTATTCTCACAAAAAAAAAAAAATTAGAAGATTTACTGTTATGCAGACTAGTGCATTAGTGTAGAAATAGTATAAATAATGTCAGCGCACTTGTGAAAGAATATTAGACTCACCAGTCGACGCATATTGGACATGTAGCATGATTTGTTTACTTTTGAACTTCGGTAAAAATCAAACATTTCTGTTACTTCGAGCTCAATTTCAAGGTACTTTTCATTGTGAAACCAATTATTATTATTATTAAAGATTAGCCGGTATTCTCCCAGTCCAGGCCTTTTCCAAGTGGTGGCCTGGCCTTGGCTCCCTCTTTAGGGAGTGTCTGAGACCTAAGTCTCCCATGGGAGGAGGCACAAGTACCTCCTCATCTTTGGGACCAACTGTCCCCAGGCCTAGCCACAAGCTAGGCCTCTCTGGTCTGCCATCCCCGCCCCAAGGGGGCAAATGGGAATGACAGTCTTATGAGCTAAAGGCTCGGGCTCAGGCACCTACCCTACCCTAGAAGGGTTAGGCATGGTATCGATCTGTGAAACCAATCAAAATCATCTCAATTTCTGTAATGTCTTCCATTCTATAAAGTGAGACCAGGAAAACTAGAATACAACCATTAATAGCATACGAAAATACACTGCAGTCACTGTTTTAAAGCAAAAACACGGTTGGAGTTTTTTCTTTTCTCATTAAGCACAGTGCTGCAGGATTTTTTTTTATACTGTGCACACTGACCATATAGACCCATTCTTTCGTATGTAGGCCTACCAGCTTTCTCTCGCTAGATTTGAAGGAGCTAGAATTTATGCGTACAAGTACGGTACCAACCTTGGCGTGCAAGCTGTACTAGTACGGCACCAACCATGAAAGGGTTAATAAAGAAATTTTCCATGATAAAATTAAGTCTTATGTTTCCCCTTAATAACTATGAAGGCATTATAAAAAATTATAGTTATATTAGGCACCAGATATACAAGGAGAATATTTCTTTTTAAATTATTGAAGTTGTGTATGCAAGGAATTTTTAAGTATTGTGAAAAAACCTATAAAAAATTCCTATTATCCCTTCTAAACTACCAAGACTAATGAAAACTAATACACAAGAATATATTACAGTACACTGTTCCATATGTTAACTCTTACATTGTCGAGACCCCTGCTCACAAGCTTGCTCTCTGTCTCGAAGAATTTAAAAAATCTTATGAAATGACAATCTTTTGACGATGGTAATGACACTGAAAGTACGAAATTTGACGGAAAACATACGGAATTACACTCGCGAAGTTAGTGGTTTCAGTGATATATACGGATTGGTGATTTCGCCCACTTTGAGCCCTATTTTCGGCCAATTCCTTTGTTCCAGTTGACCAAACTCAGCAATTTCGCTAGAACTCCGTTTGTTCTATCGACTGAGTACAAGAAACCGCCCAGAAATTGGCAATTTGGCCAATTTCATACAAATTTCAAAAGATGCCAATTTCAAAACAGGGCCCAGAATAAACAATGCAGATATTCCTGGCACTAAAATAACATTTTCTCTGTTCATTAGTCATGTGTCCGGGCCCCTCTTATATTACCCTTGCTTTCCATTTTCAATTTTTATTCACATATAAAAATAGGATTACTGTTATGCAGAATACTGCATTATTGTAATAATTGTATAGCTAACTCATTCATGACTGCATATTAGACTGGCCAGTTGGACATGTACTGAACGGTGATGTCATTTGTATACCCTTGAACATCAGCAAAAATCGAACAATTTTGCTACTTTGAGCTCAATTTCAAAGTACTTTTCATCGTGAAACCAATCAAAATTATCTCTATTTCTGTAACATATCTTCTATTCTATCAAATGAGACCAAGAAAATGAGAATATACCCATAAATACCATGTGAAAATACACCTCAAAGTTGGTGTTTTAAACCAAAAACACTGTTGGAATTTTTTTCTCATTATGCACTACTTGCTGCAGGATTTTTGTTATGCTGTGCACAGTGACCACACAGACCCATTCTCTCACATGTAGGTCTACCAGCTTTCTCCCGCTAGATTTGAAGCTGCTAGAATTCTGGCATATTAACATGTCACTGACACTGCCTTGTAAGCCATACCTATATGTCACTGACAGTGAAAGGGTTAATATCAGCAAAATAGCAAGTAAACAGTTTACTTCATACAGCAAGATGCAGTACAGAATACTTATGCAGCAAGTTAGTTCAAGCAGTAATCCAGAAAGTGGAGCAATCCTAATTTGATCTTGGCAAGGAAGCGAGATCAACCCCCCATCAGAATATGGGGTTATTTTGAAGTCTTTTGTGTGTGGTTACAGCAATTCTAACTTTAAAAAAGTAAATGGAATACATGACCTTCATACTTCCCAAACAGTGTTAGGCTGCATTTAAGATGACTGTAGTAATGAAATTACCTTACCTGAATGTATGATTTGAACTGTCATGTTGTACAATGAAAGTAACACTGCCCTCTTACAAAATGGGTGTGAAATGGAGGCATGTTAAACATTTTTGCACTTCAGCAGGATTACTGTAGTTTTGGAAAACAGCAGCTGAGCATATCATGCATAAATTGGCTCTTACCAAAGGCCAAGAAATTTTTCTGCAATCTTTCAATCCAGA